GATGAATACAGTAGTGGCTTGTATCATCAGTTCATCTCAGTGGAAAAAAAATGTGCGACGCTATGTGTGCAACCACCTAGTTATTCCTCAAAGCTGCTCATTCATGCAGCTCTATCTGTCAGCTAGTACAGTATTCTAGAGAACGTACATAACATGACCGCCCCATATTTTCCTATAACTAGACGAAGATATTCGTAGCACACAAAGACTGTATTCGTATGTTTTGTTCATCAACCCTAAAACTCTTCAAGCTGCAGTTTCTCCTATTTTTTCCAAGAAATTCTCATATACCTTCGTAAAAAATGTAATAGCTTTCTGAATTTCAAAGATCTTATATAGGTCTTACATTTACCAAGTAACAACTGAATGAAAATATCTAGCTCCTTGGTGACAAAATAGACCATCATGTTAGCTTTTGCTGTGTGCCCTGGATAGTTAGCTCAGGTGTTTAGGGTTTATATCAGAAGTGGACATGAATTACTCCTTGTTGAAGTATTGCTGAGGTAACGACTACTGAAGATGGATTTAGTTTATTACTATTCATAGGGATGAAAGATCATGTTCAACACTTGCAGGTAAATTATTATCATTCTCGATCCTCCTGTTACGTTCAGATATATAAATAAGTGATTTAGCAATTTAAAGTAGCAAAAAGTTGAATTTTTAAAGCAATTATTTTTTTAAACTGAAAGTTCACTTAAATGTACTTTACTTTTTATGGATATTAAGGAAGAATTGTTAAAAACCGAGATCTGTAGATGAGTAGAAGACTAGGAAACACATAAGAAAACATGTATAAATTACAAATCATTTGACTAATTGATAAGTCTTCCACTTGAACGTTTGTTTCGGACTTTCCGACTGGTTCCTAAATTTCAATATTACTCCCCTTGGACTCAAACAACAGAAAAACAGAGTGAAATATGAGTAGATGCTTTGTTTCATGTTTAATCTATATGTGGAGAATCCAGTTTGTTTACAGGTTTTCCACTAGTTTTAATTCTTTAAAAACGTCTGGAGATATTTCAGATATAGTAAAAAAATAAGTAGCTATCCAGTCAAAACGTAATACACATTCCCTCACTGTTCTAGATGTTTCGGATAAGCATCTATTCAGTTCTGATTGGGCAAAACTATTTTTAAGCTTATTTTGAACTGCACCGTTGTTATGTTTGTTAATGAAAAAGTAGGTTGGAAAAAAGCTAGTGGCCTGTTAGACCAGAAAGTGATATCAATCCATGAACTTACTTTAGATTACGATAACAACTTTTATATGAGAAAATCATCATATGCAGAATTTGAAACAAGTTATGTATAACACAAAATAAATAATCAATGATCATCTCATTTATTAGTAAATTTTTGCTCAATCTTTTATTCCTACAATCATACTCGTATTCATTTCTCAGCTGTATGATTTTGCAAAACTCTGTTGTAAGTAGTTATTATTAGTAAATTTATATGTTCCAAATACAACAAAATGTTAACTAATAAAGTTTGATCATTCAATACAAAGTACTTTTTTGTTTTAATCGGACCATAATTTATAGTAATATTCAAATAAAAATTTTTGAGTACAATATCGATCTCAATTTCTGATTATGCTATATATATATATATAATATCACAAAACAATATTTGAGTAAACAATTAGTTCCGATTACTTCCTCTTCAAATTCTACTGTTATAGATCCTTAATGATTGTATAACATTAGAAATAATATTCAATTTTTTTTGCAAAATTAGGATAGAATGTCTTAGTTGTTTATGATCAAATAAGTAAATGAATGATTAGAATGGATTCGCTTTAACTGAGAAGTTATATTGTATTGAAATATAATTATTTATCTATATGTGTATTTTATATATTATCCAGTAAACACCCTATTGCCAATATAGTTTGATTGAAAACGTAACGGAATACGTTGATTAAATACAGCCTATAATTTACTCCGAAAGTTAACTCATTAACTGACTTATATCATTATTAGTAATAATGTGAAATGTCTCCATTGTTGATATTAAGGATTGAATTTCGATCAGTTTTAATTGATATAAGAGCATCTTTTGCGGATTTTGGTTAGCAACAGAATCTAGGACACGTGTTCTGTCCTATTTTGAACTGGTCAACTGGATTCACTTCGTGTTAACATCAGCATTGAGATCCAAGTACATTCAGCTGACGAGTCCTAAATACGATTGACAATAATCAACCACATTTCTTCAAGACATTTTTTGCTCTATAATAGATGATAACACTAGATCTACAGTCTAAATAGTCAAATCTTTAATGAAGGATCTCTATGCTTGTTTGATTTCTATGATTTCCTCTATCCTAGAACTCCGAAGCCTAACGATAAAACATTAAAATATTTATATATAAAACACAGTACTGGAATAATCTTTCAAAGATATTAGATATTTGTTTTTGACAAGTTAATTTTCCATAACACTGGTACTGCTTTTTGTTTGAGCGCTTATGTAACCTAGCAGAAAAACAATGTTTTAAAACTCAACTGTCTGTTTTATATCCGAATTAAATCGGTCAACCTGATTCTGTGCTTAATGCTGTAATCCATACATTTCACTATGATAATGGGTGGAATACTGTTATTCTATTTCATGTCAGTTTATTTACTAGTTGTCAAAACACAGTTATTATTTTAAAAACCTATGAGGAAATTAAATGTTGTATGTCCGATTTTCCCATTCCTCCTTTCTAAAAAAATGATAACAAATATTGCTGAAGTTGTAGAAAGGAAAATACTAATTTATTCTTATTATTGGATGTACTAAACTCTGATACGATTTTGAAAGATTCTGTTACTAGAATTTTTTTACACATCGAAATTAGTTTTTAGGATTGTTATTCTGTTTTGTATCCTACTGTACAATGTCATCTACGTTGTTGCCTGATATTTTCTCAACAACTCCTGTTATTTAATCACCCAATAGCGTAACAAACATTACCGACCATTCTAAGCTGGTTACTAATCACACGAAATTCAATTTTTATGTTTGTTGGAAATAGCAAAACTTGCAGGACAAAACGTCTGTTATTAGGTAACTCTGTAGCTTGGAATGTAACTCTGATTTTCACTTTATTGTTTCCACTAAAAGTAACAAAGTAACATACCACCATGTTGCCACTTTGAATCCTAATTTTAATTTTAACTTCACAACAAATCTGTATAGTTCAAACTAACAAACCTCAACTGTCTGAACATTATAAGAAGTATAATCATTCTTCTTCTTCTTCTCATATCAGACGACCATTTATTCGAGTAATTGTTAACAAGTTGGACTAACACCATTTCGTACTCTTTTATTAGCCGATTCGATAGAAATATTCAAATGATATTGAATATGTTATAATCTCTTTCTTCTTACGGTTAATGACCCAGCTATTCCTATTGCTTAGTATTCTTGGACACCGATTCACTCGACAAGTCCCCAAATCAGAACACGGTTGAACAGGAAAGAGATTATATTCCAAATAGCAAGTCAGAAGCACAATAGGGAAAAACGTCAGTATATTTATAGTTTTTACATAAGAAGATTCCAGAGTATTCTCCAACTATCGACTAGTGCTGATTGGATAAGAATTAGCCAATCAGCGTGCACCAAAGCAATCATGCATTGAGCATGCTTTAATCTAGTCTATGTCCCGCTAACAGAATACATTCATCGTACAGAAGCAAAGCAGACAGGACAAATCAACCCATATATATATAAAGATAATAACAAGAACTGACACACTGACTGGACATGTATTACTTAATTCCTTTCGCGATTCAGTGAGAAAACTTTCGATTATATTAATAATAACGTTAAAAATGCGGTGTAGTACTATAAAAGTACTGAATGAATGAGACGATATAAATAGATAGAGGGATGACTTAATCAAACCATACTTTCTGAAAAAAAATTAAATGAAAAGCAGACGACAAAAGTGATGAGGTATGAAGAGGTGCATTCAACAGAATCTATCATAGACCAATTAGAACATTCAAATATCATATGATATTTCAATCCTAATCAAAATAGATTCACATAATAGAATCTGACTAATAAATCATATTCAAAACAACTAGTCCCTTGAATACATCTGGATAATGCAATGAAAAGACGAAGATTATTAGGACTACATGGTATATAATAATAATAATAATAATAATAAATCACAGCCAAACAGATGTTTGAAAATGGTTTTAAAAAAAGTAGTAATATTAACAACAAGTCTCAGTATACACTACTTAAAAGAACCTAATTAAGAATACTGAGATTATGAAGATGATAGTAACGCCAAACTAAAATATGTAAAATATATATTGAAAACTGCTACAATTTTAGCAAAAAAGAGATTCTATATTATTTCCGTACATAAAAAGTAAGAAAAAAAACAATGAATAAAAGTTCTTGTAGAGTAATGATTGAATAATAACAGTTTATATTACATTCTCTTGAGAGGTAATCATCATGAAAGTTGGACAGATACTCATTTACAAAAAATAAGTACACACTTGAGTAGATCTGATCAATTCATGATATATATATATAAAGAGAGAGAGAGAGAGAGGTATAACCACTGAACAAACGTTTTCTTTTTTTTTAAAAAAGAAGCAGTAATTGTCACAATAAAAATGTTACTCTTAAGAAAAAAGGATAGTGAAACTGAGTCGAGAAAAAAAAGACAAATATGATAGAAAAAGAAAAGATATTTTATACATTTGTTATTATTCCTGGGGTTTTTTTCTGATCAAACACTAATATACTTATGAAAACGAAAGAAAAATCATTGGATCCTTTTATTTATGTATGATGTATATCAAACAACGTAGCACTGAACCTCTTGTTTTGAAAAAATAAATTAAGCACATAAAATAGATTTTAAAAAGTTATTCAATTCATTGTCATAGTTCTCAATAGTAAAAATGACTATCAATATAATTGATATGATATGATACTGTATTAATATAGTTTTATCCTTTCGACTAAAATTAGTTCCCATAAATGATTTTGTAACATAACACTAGGATATTAACATTTTGAAAGAACAAATCGAGATTTAATTCATTACAGGTTTCATCCTATCAATAAAATTAAATGTAAAAATAGAAAAAAAAATTTATAACAAAGTAATTAAATATTATTGTGGTGTATGTTACGAATGTCGACAAATATGAGTAGGATTTATTCCCAACCGGAAGTGGAATGCTTAGTGGCAAAAGGTTGAGAAAATCGAAAAAAAAGAACAAGAACAAAGAGTGATAAGTATAGAAACGAATGAACAACAAAATCTGAGATAATTGATGAATATTTTGCAAATAAACTATTTACTGTATAGTTTTCAGATTTTACTAAAAATAATTCTGTAATTTTGTACTCAAATACATTTGATTGTCCCCGCCTGTGTTCACATTCACTACATTATTATTGATATGTACAGGATTAATATGAACTAATATTAAATCTTGATCGGGTGATTAATGAATGGTTATGATGTCGAATAAATAGTTACTACAAGATAAGGACAAATGTTCAGCAAATACCTTTCTTTTTTCAGTTAGACAATATGCGTATATAGAAGATATTTAACACGAACATAAACATTATTTGAAGTTATTCAATATATTTATACGATCGTAGCTTAAGAGTTCTTGATAATCACTTAACAGTTATTATTAATAACATTTACTTAATTCTTATCTCATGAAACACTGTCGGATATATAAATTGTAACGTTGTCAAGTTGTCGAAATTCTTATAATTCAACTGGTTTTTATTGCAATTCTTTAGTTGAACACATAGGCAGTAGATGTCTTGATACAACAGAATACATATGATCACCGTATGGATGATAAGTGAATCGGTAATCCATATTTTGTTCATTCTTCTATTTTTTTTAAATTTTAAATATATCATATGTTCTTAGAGAAGTATTAATAATTGGATTACGTATGCTGCTGAGCAAGTGTTTTGTGGAAATTTATTGAGTAAACCTTCAACTAGAGTATTAGAGATTTAATTCTTGAATTTACTGTTTCTTGTTACTTTTGTGCTACAGTAATAAAACTTAGGGTTGGAAGGGGGTATTTCTGAAAATTTCATCACAAAACTACTGAAGAGATTGTAAAGGATTAGTTTGCTAAAAAAAACTGATTGATTGTTTCTTCAGAAACCTTCCGTTATTTCAGCAATAAATGTAACAAGATAATTGTTAACTGTATACATAATCTTACGTATTTGAGCCACTTTATAAGTTTGTATCAACAATTTTCGAGTGCGAGTTGAAATGAACAATAAGAGTTAGTAATAAATATGTTTTTTGTTACATCCCAGGGAGTAAAAAATTGTATTTTTGACGTTTCGTGACTTTATGTAAGACTCTTCTTCAGCATAAATAAGCAACCGATTAAATTAACACAAGTCTGAATAGGATAAAGATGACAATAAGAGTGTATTTGAGTAGCTTTATCAATCAGGAAGTGTGTTTTCACACAACACGACACATTCATAATTAAAACCCAACTGATATCACTGAAAATAATTTTTAAAATAATATGTAAAAGATTATCGCTGATTATTATTGACTGTTTAACGAATATTGATTTAAGATAGAGACTAAATATTCACAACGCAGCAATCGGAAATCGTTTAACGTACAAAGATATTGATTGTTTCTGCACTTGAAAATAACTGAAAGGTGCAGACGTTTTCATAGATCCAGTCGTTCAGCTTCTGAAACCAATAATCTTAAAGGCAAATAAATAATAACCTTTGACTAAAGTTAACAGAAAAATCTCGTCTAAAGCTCTTTTAAGATTGCTGCCGATCCCAAGCCAAGATAAAGGAAGGTTAGGCATACAGTTAGTAACCCTATGCCATAGAAAACAATTTTGCTACAAAAACCACTAACCAAAACAAACAATTTAAACCATTTAAACTCTGTCCTCCGAGTTTAAAAAAGAATTGTGACGCCTCATGACGAAAGCTGAGATTCTTCGGAAGTCACGAGGCCCATGCTTTCTGTAACAACCAAACCAACAACTAATATGGGTACATTGACAGAATAAGGTGATTAATTATCTGGACTCTTATTTTTAAATTGACTTAACAACAAGAGTAACAATTAATATAGGTAAACTGAATGTCTGGACCATGTGACAGACCGAAAGGATTACTCAAATAGCAACGGAAATTAGGAGATACAACTTGACAGTACTCAGAATCATTGAAACCCATCGGCCCAAAGCTGAACAGAAAAGAATAGATTCGGGAGAGATGCTGTTGTACTCTGATCACGAGGATGGAAATGCTCCGCACAATCATGGAGTTGCCGTGATGTTTTTCAATGAACCATGTAAAACACTCATAGGATGGGAATTTCATGGATCCAGAATCACCAAAGCACCCTTCAAAACATAGAAGGACGGGATCGCAATATTATCCAGTGTTATGCACCAACTAATAATAGCAATGAAGACGATAAAGTTCAGTTTTATGAGAGGCTGCAATCGGTCGTAGTGAAATGATCAGGAAAGAACCTGACCATCCTGATGGTAGACTTAAACATCAAAGTCTGAATGGGCAACTCTGGATATGAAGATATCATGGGACAACATGGACTGACTGGGAGAAAGGAATGAGAATGTTGAGAGATTTGAAAATTTATGTGCACTCGACAAAACGTTTATATGTGACATCATCTTCCCTACAAGTGAATACACAAAGTTACAGATGACGTAACTGTTATATGCCATACACTCCTACAAATGAAGGTGAAGACAGTTAATGTAATAACAATCTCTGCAGGCCTCAGAATACACAAGGGAATAAGCAAGTTCCTGAAATAAAACACAGAAAGCACCATCAACAAACTGCATCACTAGACAAACCCTAACATGGAGTCCTCAAGGCAAAAAGAAAGGTGTAAGACAAAAGATTACATTGAACTGAGTATTGAAGGGCAACATCAAAGGGATGAATAGCATTTGAAAACAACTGGGGAGGAGAGCTCAAGTTACAGTTGGATGGGTAATTTTAGTCGGCACCCTATGCTGTATAGGGAAGTAAAGGAGTAAGTAATCAAGTAACATATACAGTAAAGAATTCCAAACAGCAATTCATCGAAATCTTAGTGATCAAATTGAGAAAAGATTAGCAGTGGATACAGGATAACAAAAATAACTTCACAAGAGAAAACAGAAAAGTTCAAAAATAAATTATTCGTCAAAGATTTACATTGTAATTATTGTTATTATATCCAATTGAAATAATTTGTTCTCCAGAAACAGTGATGAATCTCAATTAAAGTGATCTTGCGATATATAAGTAGAACGAATATATTAAAAATAATTGAGCGAGAAAATAATTAACAAAGTAACACTTTAAAAACTTACATAGCTAAAAGTGTGTGTTAATCCCACATTTTTCGTTGGTATCTCTTTTTAAACAGCGTTTTCTCAGACTGATTGAATTACTTATAGTATCCGTATGAACTGATTTCTTAAGTAGTTTGCTAACTGATGGTTCAATATTTTTCAAGAAACCATTCGTATAACGATAACTTTTATCTTTGTATAAAATTTCTTTAGCCCATTCTGGAATCGGTTGCTTACTATAACAAATTCCTATTTCTTCAGAAACTTGCTCGATTATGTCTAATGCCTGAATAACAGAAATTTAAACATCAAAAAACAAATATCATTTAATTTTGTAGTTAGAAATAAAACGCAATCCATATCGAGATCTGAAAACCATTAAGTTAGAACATTAAGTACTATCCGTAAATAATCATATACTGTTGACATAAATCAATTGTCATACATGCTTTGTGATCACACTCCAAAGTCACACAGACTACTAACAATTACCAATCTTTATTTACGAGTTCCACCTAAAGCATTATCCCTTCATGATGTCAGAAAACAAGGAGTTTCAATATCTCACACACTCCACCTAGTGTTCAACTTTATATTCATCTCCATCAAACTCTTTTCTTATTTCTCACTAGTTTTTCTATCCTTGTTGACAACACATGTTCCTCGATCCAGTTGTCTTTTTCACGTTCAACCAATGTTAACAATTTGAAATAATGGAATGTTATCCATTTTCTGCTGGAATTTTTATTACACTGCATGTTGGAGCCTTCAATTTTTAGACAATGTATCAAATCAAACTATAGAGCTCATCAGTCAAGATTTTGAAAGTTCGCTTCATTGATGCATTGTGTGTGTGTCTAAAACTCACATACAGGACCAACACACAGTTGTTCAATTGACCTCATATAACCAGTGCGGAAAGCTGCTCAAGTTACGAATTAAGTACACCCAGACACGTATGAATGTAGTACTAACTCCAGTAACATAACATTCATGGACTATATTTTTGATTATAGTCACTTGTGAATGAATGGCTCTGTAATAACTTAGAAACACATCATCACTTGTCTGTCATCCCTGTCCCCACTACCATCGAGTGCGACTCAAAAGAATTAAAAATGAGATCTACAGACATCTGTTAGCATCCTAAACTTCTATGTTAGGAAAGCCTAGTGGGTTTTGGTAGCTTCTGATGAATTGTTGAGTTGCCTTGAACTCAGCGCAACCTTCTCAAACATGGGGATGAACAGAGGCAAACTAAAGGGTAGAATGACAAAAGTTTTCTCAAAGAGTGTAAGCAGTTGTTTCCAACGTTTATCAAGGAAATGGAGAGGATAGTAATAACAGATAACATTAGACAGCTTGTTTGAACTCATTCATGAGACTGGTAATACAAAGTCGCTTGCCAGAGAAAGTATCTCTGAAAAAGAAACAACTAAGATTCGCTCTTGGACCAAATGATTATAATATTGCCATCTATCTACTCTCCAGTCATCTATTATCCACGAACATCCTGAATGAAAAATCGACATAGACCTCGTTTTTCAAAGTTTAATGAATAAATATATGTAAGATCTATTAAGTTAATTCCAAGGATCTCTAAGAATGATAACCTGATATTATCAGTAAAATTAACTGAGATATAGAGTATAGCCATAGAGTCAAACATAATTTTAGCTGACTACTTTGATCATGGATATCTATTATTAGTAGTTAATGTAAAATAAATGAAAAAAACTCACCCTGTCTAATAACTCTCGTGTATGTGCTGATGAAATGCAAAATCGTACCCTGGATAAAAGCAGAGTTGTAGCTGGAAAACCAACGACTACAGTTCCTAATCCTAGTTCTAAACATCTACGCGAAAAGGCAACTAGTTTAGCTGGCATATAAACGATAACTGGTACAACAGGGCTATCACGATTCCCATAAACAATTAAGCGCATTTCATGTAATCTTGCACGAAAATAACGTATATTCTCAGCTAAACATTTAATTCTGAAATGATAGAAAATAAAAACACAAGACCAAACAATTCAGAAACTATATGTGTAACTTTGAAAGAGTAAATATTCAAACATGATTGCAAACAATATCATCACATATTTAAAGTAACGCTTGTTTTTCGATTTCGTTTTAGTGGTTAGGCTGTAACTTTTTATCAAATAACCTAAAGATTACAGATTCAAACCCATGAAGAGAGAAAGTAAAGATCTACTTAGAAATGTCTATTTTATACAGGAACGATTTATAGAAATTTTGAATTTGGCCCCTATTGAAACTTCTACTTATGAGAATATGTTTTCGATAGAGCTGTTTTACGATCAAATGCCTGTTCTTGTTTGTGCTAATCTGTTAAATTTGTATTCCGTTGTATAAATAAATGTTTATAGTTTTCATCATATGACAGTGTTAATTCTTTTTAATATCATCTACAAAACAGTACTATATACTCGGATGAGAATTTAATAATTTTCGTGTCACTAGGGTTCTGTATGAGATTTTAATATCATAGCTTTTTCATCGATGAGGTTTACTAGTTATAAAAAATCAAGGATAAAGAGAAAGGGAACCTGAGGTTTAAAGTTTTACTATTATACGTTTCGACATATTAATTATGATTAAATCCGAATGAGATTATTCGCCAGTGAAATGCAATATTCGATATTATTTGCAGTGTTATTAACCGGTCAAAATTCATTAGAATCCTGAAACAAATTTTAAATATCTTCATCTCAATATGGAGTTGTGGATAAATCACTGATTTAGAATCTTATACTCGCCTTGAGGAGTTGAGCGTTAAGACTGAATGAAACGAAATATCGTGTTCTGATTTAATGATATTCGTTGAAAGTTCGTTTGTATTCAGTGAGGAATCCATTTTCACCTTCCCACTATTACAGGTATTTGTGATATTCAATGACTAATTATCACATCCCAGTAATATCTGGACAAAAAGCAGTATATTTGGTTGATACGTTATCGTATTTTTGTAGGGTGAATAAAATCTTCATCTGACATCAATTTTTATCCCCTTCCTTCGAGCACACGAATCTCAGTTTTTGTTATTTCAAATACCAGCTATCAGCTGCCAAAACATAGGGTCAAATAATCTATCTTCATATAAGAAATATACCATACGAACTTATTGCAAATCTACTTAGTTATTTCACACATCATCGTTAATTTTAATAAATATTTGAGTAGTTGATCAACATGATCTTCATTCCATGTATGTAGAAACAGTAGGCAAGCCCTAACTCGCAGTTCCCAAGATGAAAGGGAAAGAGGCAGACAAAAGAACACATTGAACCGGGAACTGGAAGGAGATATCAAAGGAATGAATAGCATTTAGAAATAGCTGGAAAGGAGAGCCAAAGTCAGAGTTGGTTGGACAATCCTGGTCGGTGGCCTATGCCCTACAAGAAGTAACAGGTGTAACATATTGAACATATGCAGAAACAGTAAGAAAAACAAAGTACAAATAATAGTTTTCCAAGAATAATGTTTAGGTATTCAGCATTCATTCGTAACAAGAATATCGAAAATTCATTCGGAATTTAACCACAATCATTTAATTACCAGTTTATATTTTGTGTTTATGTAAAATATACTTCGTTTACTAACCAACACATGCATACAAATATGCTAATATTGGGATAGGCTAAGACCCACCTAATGATGATTCAAGCATTACAAAAAGCTATATTTGTATGCTCATCAAAAAATGAGCATAAAAGATAATAACTAACGTTTTCTGTTTAATGAACATAAAGAAGGTGGATAATCAGAAAATCATTTAGAGATATCAGTTTTCTCATGTACAATCACTAACATTTGATTAATTATGGAGACAGATTGTGTCACTTGTAAGCATTCTGTTATAGACGATTTGGTTTACCTAAAGAGGACCCGTTTGTATGCTGAATTACTTACAAACCGTCAATTCACTATGGATAATGCAACAATATAGCTGTATATATTTGAACTGAAGGTTTAATTTCAGCCGTTTTACCGATATAAGTATATTGTGAATGGATATAATGATATATTTAATTGCCCGCATTGATTATGTGAGAAAACAGTATTTTATTGAAATGTTTAGCAGAAATACTAAAGCGTAAATTATATTAAAGTGACTAATAAATTTATGTACATAACAGTAATGTAATTAATTTACCTTCGTTCACCTTCACCAGGTACATCTTTTCCCATGACAATTCTTATGGATGATATAATTTGTTGAGCTAGTGGTGCTGGCATACTACAACCATATACAGTATTATATGACATCGAGCGAAGATAGTCAATCAACTTGCGATTTCCAGCTATGTATCCACCAGATGAACCGAAACTCTTAGTAAATGTACCCATTGAAATATCAATATCACGTGGATCAACACCAAAATAATCAGCCACACCACGACCCATTTGACCTAATGCACCAATACTATGTGCCTCATCCAAATAAACATAAGCATTATATTTCTTCTTTAAAGCGATTACTTCGGGAAGATGAAGAATACTTCCTTCCATACTATGTAAATACACATAAATTATCAAAAATATATATGAGCTAAGATTATAGCATTTGAATGAGTATTGAATTTAGTGTTTAAAATAATCGTATTAAAATGCTACTACAGAGAAACATGAGATCGGTAATTATTAAATACCCTTATAATAATAAGAAATAATTTGTAACTTAAATTGTTATTACTACTTTCTAGTGTTAGGGGTTTGTGAAGATTTTTAAATTTTATTGTTCGAAACGCGTACGGACCTTAGTTAACAGCAAAGCTGTTTTATTCTACTTTGTGACTTCTGAAAATTGTGCATTTATGATCCCACCGAGTATCAAATCTAGGTCTTCCAAGTTTTGTAACAAACAATTAGCTTTTAATTGAGATCATAAACCGACTGATGTTAGACTACCTTTGGAAACCTGGAAGCACTGGATGGCCGTTTCATCTTATTGTGGGACTCCTCAGCAGTGCGAATCTACGATCCCGCTCGCGGGATTCCGTCTTGCGCGCGAACACTTAACCTACTGGACCACTGAGCCGGCATCCAATGGTGATAATGTCCAACATTAGCTTTTAGACTACTAAGTCAACATCAAATGACTTACAATTCTAACTTCCCGGTTCTTAATAGTTGTCTAAGATTAGTTTGTAATTCAAACTGTTAAATTCTTTCTCAATTGTATAAATAACAAACTGAATATTATGTTCATTAAGATTATACTGTTTATTAGACATAAGAACAGTACTATATAATGTTATTCTCATCGGTTCAATAAGAATTATATTCTACCAAATAAAGATTGTCACAGTAAAAAAAGTATAAAGTATATTCAATAGTCTCTTACATTCATTTACATTGATTAACAGTAATAACCATGATATTATACTCTGTCTTAAGAAATCATTTTTTACTGTATTTTTTGGTAAGCAGTTTACATGTATTGAAAAATCATTTATTTTAATCAGTACAAATACATAAATAATTATAATTTAATATAATACTTGCTAGTTATTACCATTAAAAAAAAGATATCAATAATGTTAAGATAACTCTTCTGATAAACCATGTAAGATGAATGAAGATAATGAATACTTTCGTTGAATATTTCATATTATCACGTACTTTTTAAACAATCATTTAAGTAGTATAGCTTACAACTTCTGCTAGGATCTATCAGTCTAACGTGCAAGTGCTTAACCATTAGACCACTGGGCTGGCATCCAACTGTGTCAATGTCTAATTTCAACCAATCCACGAAATTGCACCACCGTGCACCATTGTCTTCAGTCAGCTGATATCTCGCAACAGACCTGGTTGAACTCCACTGGTAACGGCTTCTCACTAGAACTCCAGGAAATGCCTCTTAAAGTCAGTCACCAGTGGGCAGATGATTATGGTCAGAAGGGGTTTTGTGAAGATTTTAGTAATTTCAATAATTGGAATCATGAGTCAACTGAATTATTTTTATAAGCCATTTAAACTTTAATCTCTATACACTTACGATACTTAGTTTAGATTAACTGAAAAAAAACTATGGCGATACATTATACTGTGTAGGCTGTCATAATAAACTATTCATTATACCATTTCGACTTCTAACTAGTCGTTCTATCCACCTACAATAGACTAAAATACTTCAAGTAAACAAGATAAATTGGATGATTTTCTCAAAGGCAATATAATTCATAAAAACAAAGATTTATTTATCAGGCTACTAATTATTATGAAACTTTAGAAGGTTATACATAAATTCTAGAAAAATATCACATGTCTATGAACAACACAAAATGGATTGTACAAACAACTCCAATAGAATACATGTCAAGCACTATTCAATGATACTGGAAATTGTTTAGATCTAGAGATATTTAATACCAACTATTTCTAGTGGAATATTTATATTGAAGTACAAATTCAATTCAACGTAAAAAATCTGTCCGGGAATAAATAAGCAACAACAATGTAAGAAACAATAAATATTGGGTCATTTTCAAATAATTGAAAATATATTAAGTTGTTTAATTTCATTAACAAATAAATAAGAGAAAATAGAAAAATGACTTAAAAAGCATTTTGAAATCAAAGAACAAACATGAGCACAGATTTATTAAATAATTTTTTAATAATGTTATTTCATAAGATTAATAGCTTTCAGGATAATAATTATAGGTTATTCAACTATATCACTTCAATGTACATTTGTGGTGTATGCTACTTATGTTTGTCAACATAAGTAGTATGTAACACCAATCAGAAGTGGAAAACCTGGCAGCAGAAAACTAAGAAGAGAATGGAAGGGAAAATAGAGGGAAATTATGGACTGAAGAAATCATGCAGAATGTAAATGATAGATAATGGAAATTTGCAAATGAAGTATTCAGTGTATGATTCTCATATCTCATCAATCGATTCTGCAATGTATTTGAACATGCAATTTATTTAACAAGTAAGTGAGGATCTCTCCTTAAGGTTTTAAAGAGATCAAAAAGAGTCTGTAAAAAATCGGTCTTATCAAATTTGGTTAGCAGTATTTATGTAGACGGTAGAACTAGATCATTCAGAATAATTTATCAAATAACTTTCATTTTCTCCAGAGAAGTTCAACTTGGTTTTTTAAATATAGAAGAAGCTGTAGGGATTCGAGCCAAAAACCCTAGTTTTTGTAATATCCATGTCACTTACCTAGTCAGATGAAACTTTATTGATATTTTTACCATTTTCTGATACTGTTTGTTTATTTCCCGTCACCTCTTTTATACCTTTGCTTTACTACATGTATTTTTAGAAGTATTACGTGAAGATTATTCTCTTACGTTTGACCAACACTTATAACTTTAAAGTACTTGTTCATGTTAACATGTTATTTTATCATTTGACTGATCACTATCATATCTATAATTAAATTGCAAATCGGACTGCATTAGTTCATTGGCTATTTGTATCGATTTTCAGACTCAAAATAGATCAATTATTAAGCACAAAATGATGAAAAGATGTGTACGCTTAGTAGTATATTTAGTCATATTTAAGAAAAATGAAAGGTCAGTTCATTTGTCATTCATCTTTTCAGTACTTATTGCTTATTAATTGATTCAATTTGAGTTCTAAAATTGTTAAATACAGTATGAATGGACACAAAGTGTTCCCGATTGAATTTCTAGTCAGCCTGTCAGTGATCAAATCAAATAATAATGCAACAGTCGTCAATTCAATCATAAAATCAAATTTATGAACTTAAGAATATATAGTATTAAAATGTTTCGTAACTAAGAAACACATTGAAACGATTGTTGATTTTCAAGAGTCGTTAACGTAATAATAGAATGAATTATGATAGAAATATCGTTTAAACTAGCTAAACAATATTGTGGTTCATTCATTTCAGGGGCGAGACCGTAATTTGTGGACGAACCAATCAGATATTAGATAACAGATCCTGGGCTTCGGCTCTAAATTCAATAATCCATTTGGCTAAATAGCGTTTTGGCATTTTATCTGATGTCAATTAGTAATGAAAACCCTAAACCTAATTCCTAATCATCAACTGTAAATCATAATCTTGATTGCTCACACTGGTTTATAACCCTCATTTAGTCATAGTTAGTAGATGGACATTCTCTAGGTCACTTTAATGTCGCTCAAAGGTCGTCCGTAAATTATGGTCTCATCCATTTTATGTTGTATACCTCACTAAATTTCAATTTTGTAACCGTACAGTTTAACTAGTAATAAACATCGACACAATCAAAATTATAATACAATACAAGTACAGAATCGTAAGGTAGGATATGAACCACATTTACTGTATTCGGGCTAGAAATACTATTCAAATAAAAGTAGATATACTTGTCACGTGATATTATGTGAAAAGTGTAAAGATAATGATTAGATAACAATTAAAATGAAAGTGGACTTGCTTCGTGATAGGAAATGAACGATAGATAACATTTGTGTTATTGGGTTAATGCTTAAAAGAAACCGAGTAATTTAATAAAAATGAGCTTAAATTATTTTGTTTTTTTACATAGACAAATGGCACAGTTCAAGAAAAAAAACAAATTAACTGCAAATATTTACCTGTATATACCTTCAACTACAACCAAGATCTTTTTATATGGTCTGTGGGTACGCGGACGACCATAAACAACAGAATCTTGCAGAATTTTTTCCAAATCTTCCATATCATTATGTTTAAAACGACGTATAGTTGCTCCCGACAATCGACATCCCAAGACTAGACTTGTATGATTTAATTCATCACTGATTACACAGCAATCCTAGAACAATCAATCGATAAGAACAAGTAAAAAAACTTGAACAAATTCAACAGTAAATACAATTTATCAAATGGATATATGTGCACACTCAGATGATCCACTTAATACGAACTAGTAATTTAAATCAATGTATTATGAATGTAGTTTCCTTGTAATTGAAAAGCATACCATAGTCTCACCTCAATCTCACGCGATTCTAGCCTCAAGGTTAAATCAGTCAGTCTATCGTGTCAAGGATTTAATCTAGATGGAGACAAGCTATCTTCTGTATATTGGTGGGTAGATAGATCAAGGACATAACAGATATCTTCACAATCATAAACTATTTAAGTTGAAATGAGGATAGGAATGAATGACTTAATACTGTGTTCATCATTTCGGAAACAATTAACCTAACCTTTTAAACCTCAAAACGAGTAAAGAGGAATTTATATTACGCTAAACAGTCTAATTTTTAAAACCTCAGAATCCATCCGATAAGTAGCTGAAATCTTAATAGTTAACATTTAATAAAAATTCAAGTGTGCCTTTTAACGTCAGTCAACTTCCAATAAACAGAAAATCTTTAATCAGTAATACTTAGTATCTTCTATGATAGTGTCTATATTAGTCAGATTCACTTCTTATTCAAATAGATAAGATGAAATAAAATTATAAGCTTAGAAAATAATGCACAAATGGCAATTTAAACCCATTATGTAATTATGATATTTGAATATCACAGGTTGTAAGCAGCTGACGAGAACCTACAAAATAAAATGAATTCGTGCTATTCTGCTAAAATCTTTGTTCATTGCTCTTTTCAAAATAATAAAGGGAACTATGTGTATGAAACAAATAACTGAATTGAAAAAGTCATATTATTATATAATTTACTGTATAGTTTATGTGTAATTGAATAAATATATATATGTTTACACATAGACAATTAAAATGTCAATTAATTGATTCATTTCACTGTTTTTAATCAGTAAACAAATCAATATTATTCATATGAGCAACAAAAAAACGTTAAACACTAGTGAGTGAAGTTAAAAATGTTTCCATTTTCTATAAGACAGAAAGCACCATTAAAACTAATATCAATTTATGTATAAAATGAGTTAAGAGAAACTAAAGAACATAAAATAATAATGATTGATAAACAAATGCATTGTCAACATTTATAAAAAGTAGTGTAGAATACTTAACAATGTACTTGTAATAATCTGGACAATTGTTATTAAACTTATAAAGATATTACATAGTAGTTTCATGGGTGTTCGGACACAAATAACATTTTAATTTTGTAGATTCAAATAGGTATTATGATGGCTATCAGGACTCAGTAGCTAAGTGGATAACGCGATGGCGTTCGAAGCGAACGGTACTGAGTTAGAGTCTCATAGTGAACATCAACTCTGAGATGCAGGTACATCCAGCTGACGAGTCCCAAACAGGACGAACTGCGCGTCCTGGATTCCACTGCTAGCCACTATCCATCTTTGCTTATAATGCTTGTAAATTAAGGCAATATTAAGGCATACGCACAGTATGCACATATGCCAATAAGAGACTGATCAATTTCAGTCCTAAAGAAAACATCAATGGAAAGATTCAAGTAAAACAATATCAAGTGAATTAGGTATTATGATGTTTTAACGTTCGAATATGATGAATATATATATATATATATATATATATATATATATATAATGCGTATGTACACTTCATTTACTTAGTCAACTGAACTCAATAATTATTTATGTGTAGTTAACTTATTGACCATTTAAGAAGCTTTAAACAAGCATGTTATCAATAACATGTTCACAGAATCATGGTCTAATTATTAATCTTGTAAAAAGACATATGATGGTAACCTTATCGACAAATTAAAATAAATATATACTCATATTATGAATAAAGTAAAGTAGTCAATAATCTAGTTTAGAAAGTTTTACTAAAAATGAAGGCATCATATATATATATATATATATATATATATATATATATATATATATATATATATATATATATATATATATATATATATATATATATATATATATATATAAGTCTCTAATGCTTGAACTCAAACGATTACAAATGAATATAGGGTCATACCTGTTACACAAGATCATATGACTTTTTTTCAACTACTAATACCCTTATCTTTGTGTTTCCATAAACTTTTTTTATGTCAACCGTTTCTTTTAAAATATATATCGATTGATTTTCAAGTTTTAATTTATTTTTAAATACACACAAAAGTGTTGCTTATAATTATGGCCACTGAAACTTATCAAGTTTAATCATGTGAAAGAATTTAATAATGGAACACTTCTTATGGCATTATAAATGAAGATAAGTTAACTGTTCAAAGTTGTATGACACTGGTATGTAAGTGACTTAGTTCATTGTCTAATTCATTATAATTTTGTGAACTAATACTCCTTTTTGAAATCAGCCATTAAAATACAAACTTAAAATAGTACCAAAAGTTACTAAGTATGAGTCAAGATTTTTATCAGGTGATTGTAAAAATACACCTACATTCTTCTCATTAATTAACTTCTTTCAATAAATGGAATAAAAGTAAGCTCCAGTCGGTGACAGTATAAATAACTTGCAGTTATACTATTAAGTGTCGAAAATTATATATAACTAAAAGTCTTAAAATTGCTACCGATCAGTCATGAACAGTATAGAATTATGGATAAATTTACATTTATCCAAATTATCCTAAATTAGATCAACAGTTAGAAAGAGTTAACAAAGATGAAAACCAAAGCAAGTGAAACAACAATAGTAATAACACTACTTATTTTCTTTTCACCTGCTGCGACTTAAGCCAGCAATGTTCATGTGGGTGGCCAGAGTAAGAGTATTCGTGACATATATCTCAACCACCTTAGCTGATAAAGAATTACAGTTTTAATGAACAGTATTCAACCTTAACCGCCTATGTTCGACACCTAGCTCCAACACTATTCACCCCATGATTACACCATATATCAGTCATACTCCAAAAACATCTACACATACTTTTTATTCTAGTAAGCCAGGTTTCACAGAATTAAAGGGAAATTAAAAAAACAACTGAGTAGTTTATTCGTCTTTCGTTAGTTGTACGTCCATTTAATATACACTTAGTAATTTCATCACCATTGAATGCACATGTGGTTAACTCTTCATAACGTACTGTTATTTGTTGTTCTGAGTTGGTTAACACCTAGTTCTTCCTAAATATTAAAGATTGGTTGAACTACTCCTAAAAGTTTATCGATCTTTTTATTCTTCTAGTTTGAGAGTGGACCACTAAATTATTTTGGGATATATTATTACTGACAGTTGGTTTTACAATCCTAGTCTTGTATTAATTATCAGTACGATCTTTTCAGCTTTTTATTTGAGTCGTTTATGCATTACTGCTCACAATTATTGTGTAGGTGTTTTTCAGTCTGTGTTCAAGCTGCCTCTGAGACTCAACGTGTCCGGAGCTGGCTACGACGAGCTTAAATGCATTTAATAATCCAGTGGGAGCTATTTATATTTGCTATTTCTTCCTTAGCTCTCGATTCGAGTTTTCAACAACACAACTGTTATTTTTACCGCATTTCAGAAATTCTATTAGGTCACATGGATCGAATATGCATACAATGTTTTGTTAGGAGTAAAGTTCATTTTTTATGAGTTCCAAGACGTGTTTCTATTTTAATCTTTGTGCGACCAATAAGGAGCAACGAGACATATACTTATATCACATTAAAACCAGAGTCAAAAATATGTTATAAAAGTAAAGGCAGTTTACCATTTTTAATTATCACCCCTATCTATATTTTTAACGTGTGTTCCTAATCAAGTTGATGTCCAAAGTTGATAGATCAAACATTGTCTTACCTGTTCTCTAGAGACGAAACATACTGTAAATAAAAGATTATCTGACTGTAGTTCGTTACTTGTTTAATGAACTAAAACAATTGAAGTTCCACCTACATCCTTTAAGCTTCACCAAGCCTAACTACTTGAGCGTTAAAGCCAGCTGTCATAATTACAACATCAAGATACTCAATCTTTAGTCTGAGGTCAGAAAACTTTCTTTGGAACTCATGCTTTAATTTTTCCGAGTTGCAGTCAGTAGGAATGTAGGCAGAGATTACTTAAAGGGTGATGGTGTGTATCCTCCTACTTTTAAGCTCTTACACCACCAGTCATTGGGACAGTTGATTAGTGATTACAGTCAAAATCCAGTTCACAAATTGTTTTTCTACTACTGAATTCAACGCTTTACCTACAAGTTCAAGAGCATAAGAAGTTGCCATTAAGTTTGGCATAACCTGATGCGTCAATTGAGCTGATTCTGTGCGTCAACTACTTGAAGTTAACTAGATGATTGGGTATGAGTCTTGTTTGTAAGTTTCAAAGACATATCATAAACCAATGACACCAAATTCTAAAATCTTAGCCAGTAAAGCCTTTTGGGGGATACTAATTCCCTAAGCACAACTTATTACAGTAAAATCAATCTTGAAATCCATATACTGGACTTAAGCGATTTTCGTTTATTAGCTTTCAGTATTAATCAATGTGATGTGAATTTCATTCATTGATTTTCAGATCGTTTTCAATTGTATTGATTCAGTCACTGTGAAGTTTGTTTGGTTTGGTTTTCAATACAATTTTGTTGTATTAATCAATTCAATGCGATCTTGACTTTAAGCCACAATTACTCATTTGATATAAATCTGCAGTTAGTAATCATTACAACTAGTCTGTATAAGCTGATTCAACTTTATGCAAACCAAATCTTCTGTAGTTTCTACCTAATAAATCTTTTTAGTAAGATTTATGTTTTGGAGTAATTGAGGGAAAGAAATAAGCCGTTGTACCCTGATTCGAAGTTTTATTACAGTAGTACTTATTACCCCAAACTATGTTACATCTGTTGTTTGATTTGAGACAGTTCGAACACCAGGACCCTTAACAAGTACTATAATGTAAAATTTAAGCGAAATAGAGAT